AAGGCAGACTCCCAGAGAGCTATGGATTCTCTCTACCTGCAGACCAGCAATCTCCTTAGCTCAAGAGAAAAGGCAGCCAGTGACCTTGGCCTAACAGGAAGGACAGATTAATGCTTTGATACTGTGAATGCTTTGGGTGGGGAACTGAGAAATAAATGTCTCTTGCAAGAAAAGAATAGATGAAAAAAGTTTACATTTAAAAAAAGACTCATTTAACAAGACATGAGTCCAACTGGCCCCCTAGAAAAATATTTACAACATTATGGAGTCAATGGAATTGTAATAGATAAATATGACAATGGGGGTGGGAGGGCAGTGGATGGGGGGGAGTGGGGGTTGTTACTTTGTGAGGGGTGAAAAGGATAACTATTGCATTGTTCTGTACACCTGAAACTAATAAAAAATATATATTTTATATAAAAATATATATTTATTATATATATATTTTATATAAAAAATATATATAAATAAAAAAATAAAAATAAAAACATCTCATTTACATGAGCTATCAGACTTCTTCAAGGAAGTGCTGGAAGAAATATTTTTGCTTATTTATTTAGGAGATTTTAAAAGTGACACTATTGACATCAATCAGCCTATGAAGAAAGGCACATTAATAGTATATGTGGTAAAAATGATATTAAAATAAGGCAAAAATAATATTATATTACTTGGCTGAGTAGTTTGACAGAACCCAACAGTCATTTGATTCCATTATGGTCAGAGAACGTCCACTATATGATTTCAATTATTTAAATTTGCTGAGGTTTGTTTATGGCCCAGAATATGGTCTATATTGGTGAATGTTTCATGATCCCTTGAAAAAAAAATTTTACTGAGTTGGGTGCAGTTTTCTGTAAATGTCAATTAGATCCTGTTGGTTGATGGTGTTGCTGATTTCTTTTATATCCTTACTGATTTTGTCTGCTGGTTCTATGAACTGCTAAGAGTGGGGTGTTGAAGCACATTGCTATCAATGAAGCTGGGGCTCAGAAAACAAAAAAGAAGAAGGCTTCCCCCTATCAGTCAGTCAACCAATTAATCAATCAGCAAAAAGTATTTATTGATTACTTTCAGTATCCCTTGCCCTATACTCGGTGGTAAAGGAAGGAGAAGTATTGGTCTAGAAGGAAAATTAGGTGTTTACGTCATGTGTGAATCAGTGTGCACAGGCCCATGCTGATATGCTGAAATATTTGTGACTTCTATTTCTAAAGATTTTTACATGTGCTCAGCTAACTCATCTGGTTAGCCAGAGATAGTTCTAAGTAAACATAGGGACCAATAAAAGGGAAGGCAGAGCTTTATCTTACTCTTGTTGTAGGACAATCTGATCCAAGCAGACCCAGGAACTCAGCATTTTTTTCAGAGCTGGTACTGATGATTCCTTTGCTCAGTTATCTCTTCTTTTTAGGAAGTGGGTTAGTACAGTGGTTAAGAGCACATACTCCAAAGCCAGAGGCCTGAGCTTACAAGGCAGCTCTGTCACTTATTGGTTGTGTGATTGGGGCATGTTATTTAATCTCTTGTGCCTCTGTTTCTTTCTCTCTCAAAGGGGGATCCTAATAGACTGTTCCTACCTGATAAGGCTTTGTGATTATTAAATGAGTTAATACAGATGAAGTACTTTGCACAGTTCTGGCACCTGGTAAATAGTCCATAAATATTAATATTAGTCATTAATATATTTGGTCTGTCAATATACCCATTTGCATTCACTTCCCTTCTTCTTCCAAATGACTGTGATCTGATGGGGCACACATAATGTCTACTTCAGACATTTTCCCAGGGTGAATAAAAAGTTCTTTTCTACAGTTGACCCTTGAACAACACGGGACTGGACTGGACTGTGTGGTTTCAATTATACATGAACTTTTTTCAATAAATACCTGTAAATGTTTTCGATCTGTGGTTGGGTGTTTGTGGGTACAGAGGGCTGACTGTATGCATTGATCTATACCGTTTTATATAGGGGACTTGAGCATTGGAGGATTTTGGTATCCATGGGAGGTCCTGGAACAAATCTCCCATGGATACTGAGGGACAACTAAATTTTTGAAAAGACAAAAGTTATATGCGGATTTTTGACTGTGCGGAGATTGGTGCCCCAACCCTTGTGTTGTTTGAAGGTCAACTGTAGTTCCATGGGATGCCAGCTGAATGGCCAATTGGCTTTTGTGATACTTGTGTTTTATTAAATATGTCCATGATATTTTCTCTACTAGGTGCAATTTATCTTTTTATTTGAAGTAGAAACACTAGCTTCTCATTTTATAAAGTTCTGTTTCAGATTCTTATCTGGCATCTTTATGTTTTCAATGGAGTTTCTGCAGAAATCTTGAAATTCTTAAATTATTTTTCAGGTAGGCTGTTCTTTCTTTTAATATTTATGAAAAACAAATAATTCTTTTCCTATGCAATTTGTAAAAATATCATCATATGTATCATTATGAAGTTTGCAATATAATCAAAATATCCATGGTTGGGCTGAAAGCTGAGTTGCCTTAGAACCTCCTGAATGCTTTGGGGTCACAGCCTTAAGAAGCTTTGGAACACCTGATTAGATTAGTACAGAATTAGATACATTTTGTCATCTACTATTAATTTTTCATGAAACTAGAATTTTGGAAAGTATTTCGCTGCACAAGTCACAAAAAACATTAATTCTAATCCTGAAACCTTAACATAAGAATACTGTCTAATAGACTTAACATTGAGAGTGAGTTCTAAGGACAGAAATTACTCCAACTTGGAAGAGCTTGGCTGATATTTTACCCTCAGATTAGTGTATAATGATAATGTAAGATGTGGATAGCCACATAATAGTCCTTCATCCCATCTGCCTCATCAGAGTCCCTAATTTTGAAATTCTAATGATAATTTGTCCATGTGACAGTTGTTAACTTCTAGTTTAATATTAAAACATTTATATACTTTAGGACTACCAACTAGGCACACAGTAGTGACTATTACAAAAGGCTGTTGTTTCCACACCAACAGATACACAACAAAGCATTATAAATAGCTAGTTCACAGATGATGACATCATTCTTAAACATGTATAAAGATGCCATTCTTTTGTATAATAAGAATAATACAAGCACATTTACACTGAGATTCATATTTGCACTTGTCAGACTAGCAAAGATAAAACAATTTTGAAAACAGACTGTGCTGTTATTTATGGGGGAGCTGTATATCTGTTTAACTTCAGTGGAGGACGATATGTCAAGGCCAAGCAAAATACAAGATGTACATGTCTTGAGGCCTGGGAATTCTCCCTGTAAGCACTTACCATAGATACAGGATGTATCTGTAGATATATGTAATGTATCTACACATATAAAATGATACGTGTGACATGCAAAGATAGTCACACAGCATCATGTATAATAGCAAAGTTTGGAAACTTTAATTGAATATTAAATGTCCATCCATAGGAGGTGAATTCAATAAATTAATAAACAGACATACAGTGGAAAACTATGCAGTTCTATATGTGTACCAATATAGAACAGTCTCTAAGATAGACTGTTATGTGAAAAGCAGAAGAAAATAAAAGGCAATCTGTGTAAAACTATGTAGACATATACAATGTATGCTATAACATACAAATTTATGCTTGTATATGTATATACCCTTTTTATTAGTCAGGGTTTTTCAGATAAACTGAACCAATAGGAAATATATATATATATATTATAATATATAATATATAATTAATATTATTAACTGTATAATATATTATATATTATTATATATTATATATGTTATATATATAATATTTTTATATCAAGCTTAAACAGTACTCATTATAAAAGAAAGAAAATATACTTTTGAAAAATGGTGATGAGTAAGATGGGGATGGTGTGGTCTGGAAGCCGGGGAGGAGGGTGCAAACCTTGCTCAGAATTTACTCATGTTTAGGGAGACAAGGAGTAGAGACCAGTTGCTCCAAGAGAGCCCCACGGTAATCAAGAGCCCAGAAGCGAATATCTCATAGGCTCTTTTTTGATGTAAGATGTGAATGGTAGAAAGTTTGTAGGCCTATTAGTCATTCACGCAGAGTACCTGGCACATATTAAATAGCCAACAAATTTTTATTGAATAAATAAACGAAGAAGAGGTGGAGCCTTCTGCCCAGTTACAGCTGATGAAGTTCCTTTGAGCTCCAATGAGGCTGCAAAGTGAAATAAACTTCCCCAGAGATGGCAAAGGCTCTAAGAAATTCTTTTAACATTTGACATGTGTGGGCTTGCTTCTTCCAAGGCCTTCCCTTTCATGCTCTCTCCTCTAGCCTTTGGCTTATTAGTATTATGTGTCAACATCCAGAACACGTTTTTCAAATGAAAAAGCTTCCAAGCAGCTTGTAGCTTGCAGCAAATTACATCTCAGAGGCTAAGTAGGCAAGCTAGGCAGTAAACCTTGGAAAGACTGGAGTAGTTATGATTCCGGAAATGTCCAAGACAAATAAATACAGACATGTGAAGCTTACCCATCAAGACTAAATACTGTCTATGATGGCTGCTCAGATGCAAGAAGCAATATGTGCCATTATCTTTTTCTGATTTAAACACACACACACACACACATAAGTTAACAGCAAATGTACAGGTATGCATTTCTTTATTTCACCTGTCAGTAATAGTGTATCTTAAAGAAACTAGAGATATGCCTAGCTAGATGAAACATTTGCTAATTTTTGCTGTCCCCTCTTCCCCAAGTATGGGAAAAATTTTATATATGCATCATTTTAAACTCCTGGTGAGAATTTAATTCACCCAAATAACTCCTGTAGATGTCACATGATAAACTTCCTAGGGGTTGAGGAATGATTAACTCCTGGAGTGAGGGCTGGGGGAGGAGAGGACTAAAGTTTCTGTTTACTCATTTCTCTGGACCCACTGCAGCTTGGTCTCCCAGCCTCTGTTTCTGGTTTCAATATGAAGCTTCTTTGAAAGGCTAGTTGCAAAATGCAAGATCATCTTGTATTTGTGTGCTGCAAGCCAGCTTTTTTTTTTTTATGACTATCATTCATCTGGTCAGTAGTTCTTTCCCGGGCCCCCTCCTAAAAATATCGAAAAACAGAACAGTAAGTAGAAGAAAATTCTGGGTTCCTGCATTGTTTTTTCTTTGCTCCTAACACAAGGTTCAAAGGCTTATTCTTTCCTCAGTATTGGGTAAATAGTCCAAAAGTTGAATCTGGCAGTCTAAGGGGTGTAGAATGACATCACCTTACCATAACATGCCAGCTTTCCTGGGGGTGAAATCAAGATGAGATGCTATGTGCCAATGGCAATTCCACTGGAGACATCGAACCTTGCATCAAACCGTGTCCTTTCTGTGGCAAGAATGCCGGAAATATTTTCCTGGTGCTCCCGCTTTTATTCCTGCACCCTGTCAATCACAAATCCTAATCAACTCTGTGTTTTGAATATCTCCACCCCTTCTATGCTGGACATGTCCCCCCTGTATTATTTTTTTAAAGAATTTTATTGGGGAATTGGGGAGATGGGAACAGCACTGGGGAATTGGGGGAAGGGGAACAGACAAGTTGCTGTTGTTTTGTTCTTCAGTCTAGTTGTGGAGGACGTTGCTTCACTGCAGCTGCTGGCCACTCACGCTGGCTGCTGGCCACACACGGTAGCCCATGGCAACCCACTGCCACAGGGGCTGCAGCCTCCGCCGTCGCTGACGACTCACGGCAGCCCAGCTCCAGGTTGAGCTGTTGTTCAGCATCTTAGCTGTGGAGGGCAGTGTCACTGGCCCTCATATGTGGGATCCGAACCGGGGCCCTCTGGCATCCCAAGCCAGTTCTTAACCATCGCGGCATTCGGCCCCCGCCTGTATTTTTGCAATAGCCTCCTTACACCCTAGCTATGGCCACACAAACCAATGTGTGGTTCCCTGAGTGTTTTAAGCTTTCTCGTGACTCAGAGTCCTTGAAGATGATTTTTTCTCTGCCTGGAATACCTCCTTCCCATTAGTTTGACAAACTTAAAATCCTCTTTGTAGTCTTCCTTTATACCCCCAGCAGATTTAATTGCTGCTCCTAATGCTCCGTGTGTGTTTTGTGGGTATTTCTATTACAGTAATATCCTATTGTACTGTAATTGTCCATCTGGCTGCCCATCTCTCCATTACTCTGAGTATTTTATGGGCAGAGGCCATGCCTTTTCATGTTGGTCATCTCAATACCAGGTACACCCAAGCATCTCTGCTTGGATGTTCCACCAACGTCTCACACATGGCATATTTGTTGAATGAATGAATAAATGAATGAATTTGTTGAACATCTCTTTTCCATCTTCTGTATCTTGAGTGTGTGAAGGAACTATCTTCATCACATTTGGTGGCAAATGTTTAATCACATGCCTTGATTGGTGAAGATTCATAACTTACGAGCTCTCAACTATCCTTCACAACTTGCCCCCTTCCCAAATCTCAGTTGCCTATAAGGTGCGACGAATAAGACTATTTTTCTTCCAAGGCAGTTTCCATCATTCCATGGAAAGATCATCTTTTGAATTAAAGCACAATATTAATAGGAACACTTCCTGGATGCACAGTTAGATTTGAATAGGTATTTTATTTTATTTTATTTTATTTATTTATTTATTTTTTATTTTTTAGCTGAGCCATCCTGCTGCCTGTTGGCAGCTCAGCAGCTGCTCAGCTCGGGCTGGGCATCTAACTGCTGTTGCTCAGAGCTCAAACTCTTGAGCGAGCTCTTAACCAACTGAGCCACTCAGCTGGCCCCTGAATAGGTATTTTAAAAGGGTAGTTTTTTTAAAAGAAGGTTAGCAAAGGTAACGATTATTGCAGAATCTTTGTAGTTCACTTTTTAAAAGTTCTTTTAACACACACACACACACACACACACACACACTCACACACACACTCACACTCTTCCTTCACAAATCTCAAAATATTTAGTGAATAAAGAAGGAAAAATCCACATTATTGTGGTGCAATAGATGGATTTTAGCAATTTATGTGATCTGGTCACATAAAGCAATTTATGGTCAGACAACATGGAGAACATCCTTTTGTGTCACTAGAAATTCCTCCTGGCTCTACACTTTATAAAGCATTGTTCTGCTCTGAGCAAAAACACAGAGACCACTTTTTAATTCATTTTTTATGATTCAGTAATGAGATATGATTTTCACTCTAGTAAAATTCTTTGGGATTTAAAAAAATGAAATAGATTTGGAAATATAAATGTTCTGATACATGGACCACTGGCTCACTTCTTCAGCAAAGAACCTATCAATTCATACCAATGAGATATAAAGCTGTGAAGGAAAGAATATATTTCTCATCTCTTGGCTAACAGAAAAATGTCACTGGGCCAACTTAATCATCTTTCCCATTATCATCTAAATGTATATTTGAAATGCAGCATAATAAACTAAATGGATATTTTTAAATTGTCATGTTAGATTTTCACTGGTTATAAAGTTGCCTGATATTATTATTTTTTAAATTATTTTAGCAGCCAACCAGAGCTTATTTTATTCAACTTTTATACAACTCTCCAAAACCAAAGTTATATAACTAAAGTCACTTGGGATAGTTAACTGTTAACTTTCCCTGCCCTTTATTATTTCTCCAGTAATTACTCAGTTATGATAAAGATAGTTATTGATTTAGAGTATTGGAAAGAATGAATAGAAGATAACATATTTTCTGCAGCCTAAAGTTTTCACTTGTCAGACTGCTGCTTTTAAAAGCGAATGAATTAATTTTGCTAGGATTAAGTATCTGTAAGAAATGTATTACTCTAAATAATTAGGTATTTTCATACAAAGAGAAAGAAGCAATCTCAATTTAGGTATGGAATTAACCTTCTTTAAACTTAAGAAAGCTACAAGCTGTGAAATTAGGCCACAGTTAATCATCTGATCAAAACACCTGAATTTAGATTATATAATTGTGGAAAAGTTACGTAGGAATTTAGAGGACAATTTCTGCAGGTAAATTTTCCCCCCAGATCCTTGGTAATAAAGAAACGAAACAAATGCCTCTCCCACAATGAAAGTAAAGAGAAATAACCCAATTTCAAATAACAAATTTTAGATTTGCTTAGGTTCAAAATTTTAAAAACCAGGTTGTATATACACAGTGTGATCAAATGACAATTAGCCAAATGTGATTCTGAATTGCATTAAGCCAACTCAAAAAGAAGCATCGGGCCCTGCTGGATGTGGTACAGTCATCCTGGTCCTTTCTCTCCATATTTTTGACTGCAGCAATCACAGCGACGGAACCCACCATGGGGCAAAGTACCCTCTTCACGCTGATTACAGAAACAGTGGGATTGGCTGCATCATACAACAAACTGACAACCTTCGATTTACTTATTTTTGAATATGCTATTGCAGTAAGATAGAAACTGGAAACTTACAGAAATGTTATAGAATTTAGTGACCTAAAACAGTGTATTTTCAGGAAATGAGGGTCAGCACTGAGATTTGGTTAAAGCACTTCAGATTGATCTTCCACAGGGGTACACATTTCCACGGAGGCACTGATATCACTAGAATCTGCTAACTGACCACTTATTAAGTAAATGTTGGGCAGTAAACCAGATAGACTTTAGCGTCACCACACCCCTTTTAATCCAGGATTATAGGGCTACTTTTCTTAATATGAGAATACATAAAAATTACAGTTGGGAGAACTAATCATTCTTAAAATTTGGGGGCCACAAAGTCCTGCCCTTTGATGATCTGGTAAGAGCTAGTATCCCCTGAGTATGAAAATCTATAAATTCCAACAAATTTTGCACAGAACTTCAAGAGGTTGTGAAGCCCCTGAAACCCATCCATGGACCCCCACCAACTCCTTAGCTAAGGTACTTGCTTACTAGAGGATCAGCTTCATAGGTCATTCATCTGTGTCTCTAAACTTCCTAGCTTAGTGACTGGCCTGGAGTAAGTGTTTGGGTCCTGCGGGGATAACTCCTTTACCGGGGATTGGTGTTGGTGCTCTCAGCCACAGAAAGCTCCAGAGCACTGGCAGGAAACCTAGCTCCTCAGTGCTCTAGTGTCTGCCATCTCCAGAGGACTGGCATCCTCCCACCGCTGCCTCTTATCAATGCATTCGGGAGAGAAGGATTCCAGAGACCAGAGACCGGGGAGGCGAGGCACCACTGTGAGTGCTGGGTGTGGGTGGCAATCAAGGGCACGCAATGGCAACCCCTGCCTGACCACACTGGGCAGGTCATGAGTGAGGTCACTCCTGTTGAGTTGGCCCCGTTTTGGGGTCTTTTGCCCATGATATTAGAATATCATTGCCCTTTAATAAATAGCACAGTTAACTGCTCCTATGTTGCCAAGAAATCTCTGGAATGAGCCAGAGATTCAGCGCCCTGAGCTATAGGCTCAGAACCAATTGTCTTGACAGGGAATTTGTGCTGTGGAAAGAACACGGGAAATTTAGTCTATGCTCCAGCCTTAGAACTAGGCCTTCCTCAGGGTGAAGGCCTTCACGTGTGTGTGTCTCTCTCTCTGTGTGTGTGTGTGTGTGTGTGTGTGTGTGTGTGTGTGTGTGTGTGTGTTAGAGGGTGAGACAGAGGAGCTTCCAAAGTTATGGGCTCCATGCTTTGAGGGATGCTTAGGGTGGATGTCCTAAAGTACTTGTGACCTATGACACAACTTAAGCTCTGATCCGAGCCTTCAGCTTTGTCCCAGAGACCCCCACCCTTGCCTTATCAGTGCCTTCACAGTGGAGTCACACCAAGTCATGCGGGCAGAATGTGTCACTGATAGCTCATCAGGATCAAGTCTCTGTGAGAATGCCCTGGGAGCAAAGGTTCCCTTCAAGCACAGTATATCAAGAACACAAATATGGCAAGACTCCGATTACGGTTGTTCTGCTGCCTGCCTCTTGCCCTTTCCTGGCCTATAGTTACTGCACATAGCAACCGGCTCGGGTCAGGGCCGAGGAGAGATGATCCAAGGGAAGAAAGTCCAGGCTATCCAAACTTTTGGAAAGTTTGGATACTAAGAAATTCTTTACCCAGCACAATAGAGTACATACAAATATATATAATAGAGATGAAAGTTACCTGAAACAAAACTTACCCATACTACATCTGATATGCTCTGATATTTTCTGTTCAGTTCCATTTCATTTCAAAAAAAGATAGTGCTGGCCAACACCCATTAAATTGATTTCATGATCCACCAGTTGGTGACAACTTGTTTGCAAAACACTGGCTTATCTCGTTGGAGTATGTTGAGCCTGACAAGGAATTTTACTCTGTTTCGAATTCTTTAAAAACCATAAAAAGGGCCGGTCGAGTGGCGCAATGGTTGAGAGCTGGCTTGGGACGCCGGAGGGCCCCGGTTCGGATCCCACGTGTGAGGG